CATGATAAATTGTAGAACGAAGTATTTGACGAACATAATTATTCTTAGTATTGTATAAAGACAACTACTTTACAAAGGTGTGTTTTCTATAAACGTTTATGCATTCTTCCTAATTATCAAATTCATTTACTGAAATCTTTGATACGTTTAAACCAATCTCAACATGGGTGACTAATTTTCATTTTCATAATGATATAATGACACTAGCTGTTTTCAATATCATCTACTCAATGATAGTAAAAAAATTCTCAGATTGAATTATGTAATATGGTGGAGTAATTCTCCTTTCATAATCATTTAATTTGTGAATATTGAAAAAATGTTTGTATAAACCATTGTAAACAGAGATTTTCTGCCATTCATGTCTATTCGCAAATGTTTACAATCAATAATGCTTCTATAAAATAGCTTTTTCATCTTTGAATGTATTTATTGGATCAGTTCTATGGTAGTTGCTTCATGTTGCTTCATATAATTGAAGTGAAGAAATGTATGTGAACCATTGTCGTGGTGTGATGTTTAGTTAGAAGATACTTTGTATACTGATGAAGGATGCAGAATAGCATCATTGGACAGAATAACGAAAGAAAGGGTGATCTGATCACCCAGTAAGTAAATAAACTGTACATACATTAAATAAGAATGGTAATAGACAACAATCAGCAATTACACAAGAAAGCCTGGATAAACAAACAAAGTAACACTATTTGATGATTTATTGATATACGTAAAATATTCTTCCTTTTCGATTGTAGGTTTATGTTGATATACAACAATGGCATTGATATGGCATGTCATTAGTTTGGCGATGAATGGTTTGTGGTCAATTTAAACCTAACGGTATGTTGTTCAGTGAAATAATTATACGTCGGATAATAATAAACTCATTGTTCACGATAAATAGGAAAAAAATATGCGTAGAATAATTGTTGTTTGAGAAAACCATCGCACAGAGATGATCACCACTACACTACACACAATGTGGTTGTTGCACATTGAACAGATCTACTCTCCAGTGTTTTTGTTGTTGAGTATAGAGACATTAGGACTATGAATAAAATTTAATTAGTTGTGTCCAACTAATCTCCACTCAGAGTAACTAGATTATGTCCCTTAGAAATGAAAGGCATTTTTAGACCCATTATCTACACTTGTCATCAAGCCAACTTCTGATTGAACCACTGTTTCAGTTACAGTTACAAAATGGATGGTTTGATTGTGTAACTGAACAACGATGGGCCAGGCTCATATGTGCATCGATCAATTAGCCACACCTCATCGGCACAAAAAGATGAACAACGGATTTTTAGAAGCAGTTACTTCTATGGTAGAAATATATAAAAGAAACACTGCATATAAGGACATGATAATGGGAGAAAGAATTCATTCTTAGAAATGAACGTACAAAGTCATTCCAATCTCATGATTTAAGAGGAAACGAAGGGCGTATACACAGACGCAAACTTGAAAAAAGCAGTATCTAAGCGGAAAAACAAACAAAGACTGGCAGTGTAGTATTAGTATCGATGGAACATGCAACGACACCAGTGGGGATGAGCTGCAGCTCAGTAACATCATCAAATAGACGGAACAAAACTCTTCCAGTGAACTTATTTCCCCCAGCAGAGGCCCTACGAAAATTCTATAGGCAACTTGGCCTCGATAATAAAGTTAAGGAAAATCGAGTGTCACCTTCAAAAACGTAGAAGAACACGGATCTTGTAGATAGATCAGTCAGTGAATTAACCGTGCAATATACGCATTAAATTTGTCCAGCCAGTCAGAAAAGAGCGCGGCGATTTGAAGCATATTTCAACTTTTGAATAAAAACTACTCCAAACACAAAATACCCGAATAATAACGTTTTGCGATGATTCTCAAATAATCATGAAACTTGAAGATAGTTTTGCCCTTCCTATCAGTCTGAAAGACAAATTTGGCCGGATCTCCTGGAGACAGTTGAACAGGGAGCTGAAAATTCCCCAAATTTTGCCACTAACAGTTACACGGTTTACACATGAGAAGGATAAAACGCACCAAAATCATCCAAGACTTCTTTGAGTGACAATCACTAACATTATTTTTATTTTATAATCACACATAATCTTATACTCTCAGCTCTTTTCCGAATCGCCTCTATTTGTCAGTTGTATGTCCACTCACACCTTGCTAAAGCTTATTTTCTTTAACCTATTAAAATGCTCTTTCTTAACAAATACCTTAATAAAAGAAAATTAGACTGAGTAATCATACCTTAAACATTCCTACATGAATATTGGCTACTCTGCCTCTCGTGTTTTCTTTTACTTGCTCCCTCTTTCAGCCCCCTTGAGATATGGAACAGGTTACTTCATCCTGCACCATCCTTAAAGCCTTGGATATCCCAAAGGGACATAAGGTTTCGATTTCTAGAAGCTCACACCTTTAATGGGCCTATTCTTGACCATCAGTCGCACGTTCGCAACGCAACTCTCGTGAAGCGCGCCAACTATAGTACTGATTAAAACAATCTACATTCATGTCTTATAAATTTTCAACCCAGCTATGTAATTTAATAAAGTGTATATTGTATCATTTGTATCAACTTGATCTTGCCTGTAAACTGGCATGCCTCATGTAACAAACTGTTATTTGAGAATAAATTATTATTATTATTATTATTATTGACGTAGATGTTCTGATGGCCAGTTATATGCTGAGATCAAAAAAGTATGTATGAATGCTGCTCGATATACCATATTCTGAGTTTGATCTCTCCGCAAACAACACTAAAGAATCTCGAATTAATTTATTCCACGAAAAAGTAAAATTGTGCAAGGCGTCCCAGAGAGCACGGTCTCCGTCAGTGCAGCCTATGATATTCTATGGTGGAAATTCTAAAAAAAGTCCTTGAAATTCAAGAAAATATTGACCTAACAAGCGACATGAATGGACAAGAATGGTGGGTATCCCGGACACCGGCTACAAAGAACAAACACCTCATCCCTCTCCCGGATAGCGGCTGCCACATCAAGTATACACCTAAGAGTTTATCAATCTTCATGAACCTGCACGGTGTTCAGTAAGATTGTCTACCGCCACGAGTAGTCTAGTTGCAGTCATCCACAGAAAGCCCACTGTTGACATCGATTGCGAAATGTCGTATTCCGGAGGGCGTATCCTGTGTTATCTGTCTCCAATGCACTCGTATTCTGATTTTAGGGGAATTCGAAATTCCTAAAGTCGACTTCGCTGAATTTACGTACATTGAATGTTAAATTCTAGTGAAGCCAGCTCTTCTAATTCATCGGAGATCTTGGATTATTCAAAGATATCAAATGGAAAAATAGTCACACGTCATCACGCTTAAACTGCCTAATTACAAACGAAGAATTCCTAATTAAAAACCCCTCAATCTTGGCAGGCCTGAGTAAAATTGGTCATAGCCTCCCAACAACAACAAGCGTTAGAATTTCAAACGGTTGGTTGTGTTGGCTTTACAGGACAACCCACAGCAGATGGGCTGGGAAGTCCAATTTCAGCCTGATGCTACAGAGCAGTCTCTTTCGTACACGTTCCCGAAAAACAAGAAGCAACTTACAATCATCGAGATTCGCAGTCTTCGTTTAATAAGTCACAAAAAGGCATCATTTGGCAGAATACAAACGTCGTGGTGGTAACAGTGAGTACAGGCAATTCAAATAAGCAAACAACCAATGCATAAAAACAATATGAGAATACAGGCTTCTGTACTAGGTAGGGCTAATCGATAAATTTGTCTTTAATCAGAAAACGTATTTCGTCATAAGGCCTCTCTTCGACAAGCCGAAACCAGATTTTTTCAACTACTAGATCCTAATAGCCCGGCCGGCAACGACAATAACGCCATCGACCTTTCACCAGAACAGTACGTTCGAATATTTCAAACGGTAGCACCTAAACAAATACAATTCACGTGCCTTTTTGTTATTCATTCTCTCATACTACGGGAAATAACTCGAATATTGCCAAAACCACATAGCATGATGTTTTCACATTCACCAAACCGATACATAAAACATCAATTTTCAAATTAAGTTGACTTGTGAACCTTCAAGCTACCGAGGGCTGGTATTTCGTTCCACACCCTCAAACGTTACGGAGTCCTTGAGATGTGACGGTTTACATGACTATTAATTACCCATAAACTTCTCTTCACCCTGACACCACGCTTTCAGAAGGGGTCACCTCTGACTGCGGTGAACCGATGGACAACCATCCCGGGTCGCAAGGGAAGGGTTGACGTCATCAGGGTACACGCGTCTTAGAGGTAACCTAACGGATTATAGTATTTCAAACAGTTCCGGATATCCCCCTTGATAGCTACTTAGGCTTCGTCTGAACACAAACCTTAGAGGTTACACCCAGAAACTGGAGACACAATACAGCAGAACGGAGGGCAGAAACATCGTTTACTCCTTATGAGTAGTCAAATCTTTTTAAGCTGTCGACCAAGCTAGTCCAAGAGTTCTATCTGAAGTTTTTTGAGAGAAAACATGACATGTTCTCAAAGACTAATTTCAGTACTTATCTATAATTTACTCATTCGTTTTTTTCTTTCATTAATATACCTAGGTTCTTACTTGGAGGCATCGATTGTACACTGCTAACTGATATACAAACCCACGGAGCAAAATCCTCCTCAATTCCTTTCACAACTACTTGAAACAACTGAAAAGGATTCCTGATCAGTCGCTTAAAATCGGGATGACTGAGATTTTTCACAATCCTGAAGTGAAGCGAATGAAATGACAATTGAGTCCGAAGACCTACGGAACTATTTATTTCAATGATACATCAACTGCGACAACTTGAAATGTTCATCCACAGCGAAACGTCATATCAGATATTTTTGTTTCTCAAGTTCAGTACATGAACTATACTTATGAAAATTTTGAAAATCTACAACACTTCAGACGCAGATCTAAAAGAACGCTCATTTTACCGTTCCTATTGAAAAATTTCTTTTCATTGTGGTGATATTCGAATACTGGTGTCACTTAAACTTCAGTGTTGGGTCTCTATTTATGAAATGTTTCTAACTTTGTGATGTCAATTAACTAAATTATCCAAATTTTAAAAGTGCTTGCTAACGAAGTGACGTACTTCTTTTCTAATTTGTTTTGGTCAATAACCAAGCTGTCGCTAACCACTCTCTCAAGAGCGCGATGACTGAAATTTTTCACTATCCAGAAGAAAAGGTTTTCAAGGCATTTGTATGGTCGAAGACATTTGTTTTCCATGTAATCACCGTGGTCTTTCTCTTCCTTGCACCAATTATAATCCTTTGTAACCTGAAATGTGAGAAGTTTGATAAATATTTCCGAACCTTGTTGTGTAGATATTTGGATAGATTTCAAATATATTCCTGTCAATATGGGTCCATGTTTCCCTGAAATAAGTCAGTCATTTGTTTGGATTTATACTGCTGATGATCAAAATCAAATCAACTCTAATTTCTGGTCTGGAATGGATGTAACTTGGAACACTTTTGGAAATGAATTTATTAGTATTGAAGACCACTTCCTATCTGGATCAATAAACTACTTCAGCTATGAAGATCCTGTTCCATGGCCATCAAAAGATGTCGGGAAACTAGACTATAAGGCAACTGAGATTTCGATCGATATATTTAATGTTACCAGTCTCAAAATAATCGGCAAGCGTCTTTTTATCCCGATAACTTGTGGTTTACGAGTAAGTTATTCATATTATCAATTTTTCTCTTTTACTTGAGAACCAAGAGGGGTTTCATATGCATCGGTGTTTTAGTAGTCGTTTAAAATATACTGGCAGAATCTTGTAAAATTCTGATGTTTTTGATTTTGAACCTGAAACCTATTGTTATCAAGCCAAGTGCTCTAACAACTTTGTCATCGATTCATATGTCGAATCAAAAATAGGTGGGCTAACGAAAAGTTGTTTTATGAACTGACCCGTCCTTCTTACATGAAACTCTACTTTTCACCTGGCAGTTTCACATCCAGATGGTGTTTGTATTATACTCGGTTACGAATAATTACACTTTGTATGTCCTACATTTTTACCACTCACGTTTCATAGCTGTTAAGTATAACATTGTGGATGGATTAGCGACAGATTTTTATTCGAATAAGCTTTCAGATTCTCACCTTCAGAATAATTAATGAGTGTCTCCCATTTATACATGCTCCTTATGTTGGCTAAGGAACCTTGCGAGCCAAATGAAATGATAATCGGTATTACTTTAAGTTGGCGAAACGGCATCGACACGAAACGTACTATGGTAGCTATGGGCGAAACCGATTGCATTTAATCTTAAGGAATAAGACAAATAGCGCAAAGCTTTAGTAAATTTATACAAACATTATACTAACACATCAGCAGACCCCATGTAACTTTTCAAATAGATCCTAAAATTGGAAAATTTAAGCCAGATGCTCAGTTTCATATAATCGTTTCTGTACAGTTTACACGTTAGTGTTTTCATTAGGTATTGAAGATGCCACAGGCATTGGGAGTTTGACAACGCTTTAACCGGTAACACCTTCTACTATGAATCGTACCCACCAAGTGAAATCGAAAGTCAGAAGCGAGAAGGTACGAAGATAATATTTGATAAGCTATCAAAATATTGAGGATAGACTGATCTAGACTGGCTAGCGATTGCATGGGATGTTGAACACCTTATTCTCACTCATGATCTGGTGCGGATGCATAACCGAGTGCCTTCAGCTAAGCGAGTACATTAAAACCAATGTTGCCAGCATCCAATGTCGAAGACTTACAGAGTAATTTATTTTGGGGATTTATTTACCGCTACAATATGGATGCACTACACATGGACGGTCAAAATTAATTAGATTCCTGGTTTTATTAAAGTTATGAATGTCAACTCATACGGTTGGAAAACACAAATCGATAAAGTATCTAATGCTTGTTTAGTGCATTCAAGAACTATGTCGGATTTTTTGGAAGGATCACGTTTTTCCACCTGAGGTTTAACTTACAAAAACACGTTTAGTCAGTGTTATATGCAACAACCAGTTGATGTTAGTGTCTTTCGATCTAAATAATAAAGGGTTTCAGGTGGTTTTTGTTCACTAAAAACGCACTACATGTTACTCAGCCACCAGTCTTGATGTTGAACGTAATGAATAACCTAGAAAAATCAAACGGAAAGATAGATCGAAATGTCGTTGTGTGCCAGTAAAAGGTGATACATGCAAACCTGTCACATAAAATAATATTTGACGCGTTACACTTTTTCTGTTATACTACTATTCATGTATCCTGTTGATGTCCTTCGGGAATTTGTGTATACAGGATTCGTAAAGAAGAAATGTTCAAAAGATTTTAGTATGAGGCTGAAAGCATTTCAACTATGACGTATTATTAGACCTTCCTCTGGAAAATTTTATCATTTTTTCGTTTTTTCAAAAAACAAAACATTTATTAGCAAAACAATAATGACTTCTCACTGAACGTGACTGGATTAATATGGAGTGAATTCATTTCCCAAACGTCAATGACTGATTTGTTTATTCAAAGTGAATTAACTATAAAGCAAACACAATCGATTAAATTGCACGGAATGGATCCAATAGAAAAGAAGTACTACATGGTAAGTGAATGACGCATAAAAACTAGTTACAGATAAGTGACCAAGAGTAAACTGCAGATTGTCGATGCTTTGAATTTCGTTGTCAAGGAACACACTGAAAGCTGCATGACTAAATCATCTGACTCACAGAACACAAAATCCCTAACTGATAGCACAACAACGAAAACCACTGCGAGTCATCAACCAACTGATTGAAAATGTTAAGGGATTGAAACCCCATTTAGTTATGGAAAATAGTCAAGGTAGTATAACTTATCAGAATAAGAAGAGACAGGAACACAAAATGATTACTTCATCTATATCTGTTACATCACATTAGATATTAATACACCCACTCCTAACGTATGGCTTCCTGGTTTCTACAGCAAACGAAACTGTGAACGGAATATCAAACGTGATGGACTACCTTTTATTTTAAAGATAATATCGATAACTGTGAGAATTGTGTGGTCGGTTGTCACTTCCCGGTTGCCCACACAATGGAAGGACATTTCTTGAGAGACCTCAGAAGTAAATTGGGTTAGGGGTGGTTATGAAGACCTGGGAGCATGACCGAAGAACCTCAGAAACAACTGTTAATAAATCCATAAGGAGCAACTGCCTAAAGCCGGTCATAACCATTTTGTGTGAAGCTTTTTATGTGTTAGCTGCGTACTTTAAAAGCTCTTACAGTTAGAGATGAAAATCTGTGAGGTTAAGGTACGGCATGATACTTTTCGAAGCGACCTTTACTAATCTCCCTCCTTCAGTTGTGGTAAGGTAGCGTCGCTACGAATCTTGGTTATTTTAGGAAAACACTTTACTGTTTACATGTCTCCTTGCTATTTTTCCCTCTGACTTTAAACTGGCTTTTAGTCTTACTGTCCTCTAGTTGAGCTTTCTGGGCTGGTAGGGCTCAAAATAACAAGTATTCCAGCCAATATAGCACGACAAAGTCGACCACCACATCAAGGTAGGAGTTATCATCGAATTCTTTTGAGTTAACCCTATGAGAAACATGATGAAACAGTAATGGATAATATATACATTAAGATAGTGAAATATATGTACTAACTTATACTCCATACGCCTGACCTTGAGAGAGCGAACGAGATTAGACACGTGACATGTTTATACCCACTCAGCCTATCAGTCAGAACTATGGATGGACTACTAGATTTTAATTCAGCTCAAAGGTGTTATTCTCATGTCGAGACCTAAAGGCTTTGGATACACATAGTAGTGAGAAGAGTTTTAAGACAAAACAACAACCGTGATTTTCAAGTGTTTTTTAGTTGTTGAACATTTTTGAATAAGGCTTGGAAGTATTACATAGTTTATATTTGTCATTTTATCACTAATGCACATCTATAATGGATTTTCTTTTCAATTTATAGAGACCTGTAATGAATATGAATACTGTACGTTATAATTCAATAATTTCAAACATAAACAATGCAATGTATGATATGATAGATAGAAATTGTAAGTTTTTCTTCTACAGAATAAACTACAAAATGGTTTATACATGATACTTGTTATCAGTATAATATTGTTGAATTGAATCACATTTGACCTGATAAATATTGAGGAATGTTTATTATAAGAGGCTTTGAATAGTTTTATTTCAATCTCAGTTTAACTTAGCAAAAGTTAGTTGATAAATAAGTTCCAGAAAACACACAAGTTATGCTATTTATAGTATGGCTTCATAGAGATGAGTAAGACTTCAGCTAAACCAATTACCGACATCACTACAAATGTGAAGAAATTTGTTAGTCACATTAAACTAATGAATAGCAGTGATCGTTATTTCACCCATTAAATGAACTGGAACAGATTATAAATTAATGTTTCATTTGGATAATTCCACTTTACTGAGAAAGGATGTATTCCATCTAAATATCATGGATTGGTTCAATGTGTTGACACTTGTCTGAATGACTTGGCAACAGGTGCACTATGTTTGCAAGCTAGATGATTGGCGGTAGTCGGCAGGAAATGGAGAGCTCAGTTTTCATGCTAGTCAACATTCCTCAGAATGTTTTGCTGGTTATATCGACAGAACTGACGTTTCCCGTATCTGCAATCGCAAAGAAACAGACGCTTTCTATGGGGAACGAGTGTCCGTCAATTTATGTCCAAGTTGAGAGCGCTATTATTGGAACATTTACACCGCGCCTGGGCACGACTGAGATGTCAACCAGTTATTTAGTCAGAGAAGAGTAATCAATAACACATGCCTGTTAGTCGAATAAGATCGAACAAGTTACAACGTGGACCCTGATTTAAATCGCCAAATAGCGTGCAGTTTTGATACAGCTAGCTGACAAGTCCCAACTAATATAAAGCCTTAGTTCATCAATTCCTGTTGACTACTTCCATTTACAGGGCACTCATCAAAATGTCTCGTGATGCCAATCCAATTAAATTAGGGACCGCGCATTAGAACTCGATCAATGGAATCTTTTGAGTGCTAAGGATTAGAACGACATAAGATTAGGATTTATTACTCAGTGACATCAGCAAAATGTACTCCAAGTGAAAAACTTCAGTTTAACGAACTCTATTAGGCATATGCTTACATTCATAATAAATATGCCAAATCTGAGTACAGCTGTGCAACGGTTGTACATGAAATGTTTTCACATGAACAACGCAAAATTAAAAGATTGAGTAAAATCAAGAAAACTTTCATGTGAAAATCAATACATGGTTGAAAGGAAAAATCATACACTACTTCAAATGATAACATGGGCTGATGTCCTCTGTGGGTTAAGTCATTCATACGTCTTGTCTCGAGCACAGGTCTAGGTAGATAGTAAATTTGGCTCACCTACCCCATCTTTAACTCGAATGTAGGCTTAACTACATAAGAGCACAGACTGCGAATGCTAGTGATACCACTTGATTAACCAGGATAAAGTAGGATTCCAACTCGGGATTTAGTGAAAGAAAGCTGAATGGACTCCTCAATTATCAAGACACTAGAGTGGTATACAGACCGAAATCTTTTCAGTTTACCATCGAGTCAACAAAACTTTCACATATTTCAACTTTCAGTTAGCATATGCTGAACAAAATCAGCATTGACATTCAGTGTTATCCATGCTAAAGTTTTGTGAACAACCCGAGCAGAACAATCAAACTAAAAGCACCAACTAAGTATCACTGTACATAGGATGTTGATTAAATAATGTACCCCTTCATCATATGCTTGGATATGAGCTGTACTCTAAGTGTCAAGGCTAATGATATCAATCGGTTACTCAGGTTGAAGTAGGGTTACAACTCGGGATTTAGTGAAAGAACGCCGAACGAACACCTCAACTATTAAGACACTACTCCACATAATTCAGCATACCTAGTTTATTTCCTTCTCATGCTTATTTGTAGTGACCCTTCATCTCGGAAAAACACAATATTATATGTCAACTAGCGAAACAGACGCCCAACCATCAGAATCATTTCATATTACATTGGTAATAAATCTTCCAGAGCAAGAACTATTGTATCCTTTTAATGTTTTAATCATTCATATATATATATATATATATATATATATATATATATATTCATTTATTATTATCATCATGTAGAAGGTATTCAAAACAAGTGATGGAATGAGTTCACAAAACAATCTTAACTAATGATCATAACTGTATCAGGAGATGAAGAATTCATAGTTAGCCAGCCATAATTTGTAACTGAAGACCCTAGATGACAGTTCAATATGATTCAGATGTATGGTTTCTGAGTAAGTGATGCTGAGGTTAGATGCATGGTACCAGGCAGGGATAATAAGTAGATTGATAAGATTGTGATATTTCATCTACTGAGGTGACTGCAACATGTGGCTCACATCACCAATAACCCCTCAACGTAGAATATTGGTCGTCGTAAGAGTGAGTTGGAGAGAAACTAGTGGCATATGAACTAAAGGGAGCCATCAACTTCTTAAACCAATAACTGGTGGTCTGAGCTATATTAGTAGATCCAGACAATCTGACTAGTGTCCAACCGATTGTAGTGATCAATAGCTGAAGTTGTTAGGTGACATGCAACAGAACGGGTCCAGATGAACTACCTCCTTTCTTCCTGTAGCTTTAAGAAATATGTCATTTTAAAGTCATTAATTATTACTTGAAACCATATATACAGATTCCTTTGTTAGGCATCTCGATGCAATACTTACAAATGGAGGTTGAAAACATCGAATGAAATATAACACATTGTTAGTGTTTAGTATTGTCTGACTACAAATAAAGCTCGACTACCAAGGGATTCAAACTCAAGATCTTGTTTCCGACCTTTTATAAATGTACAGCGGTGCATCAAATATCAGATTGGATCTGTGTGTGTGCACTGCAATGACTATCAATTTATTTAATTCATAGAGAATCTAACACGAATGGGCACCGAAACTAGGCATGCACCACACAAATAATAATGGTCTGTGCTAGGATACTGGCCGGGTAACCGAACCGGTGGTTTTCTTAGAGGATCACTCCCAAAGCCCTTGAACAGAAGTCCCTATCCATAACGCAGTGAAGCAAAGTCAGGGGATGGCGTCTCATAGTAGTCAGTGTCGAAAATAGGTTGGTGTGTCATTCGTTCCCAAGGGATCCCTGAGGCCTCCTTGGATAGACATTGGTCTGGAATCAGGATTCTCCAACTACCCTAGGTGAACTCTCCGTCTCCACCAACCTGGTTAGTGTTAGACGTTTGTGTTTTATACTGAAATTTGCGCAAATGACAGTTCGGAAGCGGGTAAATAGTGAGTAGGACTTTTTAGTATGGGCAATAATGCAACGCCGAACGAGAGTGGACTTTCCTCATTCTCGACCGAACCACGGTATTTGGCATGGCACAACAGAACAACATGTTTTAAATAACAGTCTATCAATACGATTCCTTAATTACGTTTCTCCTCCAAAACCTATGCGAAATCAGATTTGAAACACCATTTGTTCATAGATTAAAATGGGCATATATCTTTTACATTGGTATATGGATTATATTTTATTGGCCAATTCAATGGTTACAACGTTGGGTATTTGAAAAACGTCGATTGATGATCTGTGATAATTTCGTTGAATTTAAACAACCGTCAGAGAATGTCTACTTAAGTCAATTGAAGAATCAATGGTGATGATGAATCGACAACTTTCTATGATACAAGTTCCCAATTTGAATAGAAGTGCACACTATGTTCTATCCATCTCAAACTCATTGAAATACATTAATCATATAAAATAGAATATACAATATCTGAAGAATATGGCCACATTGCTCTTAGTATGTGTACATAAATGTATATTTATCTATAGCATCTTTATAAAGAAAAATATTTGACGAATTGACTTTGTTTTATATATTCACGGTAACCTGTCACTCAAGTGCAAATTGGAAACTGACACATATGTGCACCAATTCAAGTTGTCATATCACACCGGTACATCAGTACAACAATACATACTCACTTATTACTTGGTGAAATAATGTATGACTTCAATGGAGTTTTCTTCTCTGGGCTGGACGGTTTGGTCGTGGAGCTCTCATCGTTCTTCTAAACGACATCATCAGCACAAACTTCAGATAGAAGGGAAGTGTCCGAATTTCTCCATATGCGTTTCACAGCTTGTTCTGTACACCTCGACGTTGACTGTTTCGAACACTTCACTTCTATCTGAAGTTTGTGCTGATGATGTCATTCAGAAGAACGATGAAAGCTCCACGATCAAACCATCCAGCTCAGAGAACAAAACTCCATCAAAATCATCCACCTAAGCTACAAATCTCCACCATCTCAATGTATGACTTCTTTGAAGATTAGTGGATGTGCATTGCTGAGGAGCTCCAATGATTGTCTCACTCTGATTGGTTCGTGAACTTAATGAAATTCAACAACCTCCACAACTGTGTACTCACAATAAACGATCTCATTGACATATTTTACTTTCCTTTACAGTATTACTCTTATTGTTGAAGTATACACAGTCACAAAATACTCTCAGTTATAACAAGCTACTAAACATTGTCAGTTTACTGAGTTCATAGAAAGGTTCATTCAGCGTAACTTTGTTCATTTATTGTATCTGTTCTATTTATTATTGCGATGATGATGATAATAAGAATAAGAATAATAAAGTTATCAGTTACTGTATTTTTACATATCCTCTCCCAATCTTTTCTGCTTTTTTATCTAGTTCGTTTTAAGTATTAATTGTACGGCTATTAATTTTTATTTGTTTCATTGTAGAATTCGCTTTAAGTAGAAATTCTGTATTGTTTAGATGTTGAAGATCGTTATGTAGTACACGTTGGTCGTTTTTTCTTCCTCTTCGTTGTTGTTGTTGTTGCTTTTGTAGTCGTCTTTGTGGTAGAGGTTTTTTCTTCTGTATGATTCAATAAATGTGATAAACCAGCTGACCGTATCCCCTGTAATAATTGTTCACGTGCAAATTTTAACTCGGCTGATAAATGTTCTATTTCAGGTGCATTTAATAAAGCTGGAATCAGTGTAGATCGAAGCCAACGTGGACTGTTGTCCCCCATCCCCAACAACAAAGCAATAAATCAATAAAATAGTTAACTTTTGTATTAAGTGGTCACTTTATAATGTTACGGTTGTTTAGTCTTTAGTTTTGATAAAACTCTACTGATTAAGTTGAAATATGGTCAGCACACTAGTTATTGAACAATGCCGAATATCTAACATGATGGTTGACAGTTGGAGGTATTCGATGAGAAGCACTGGTTATTCAAACACAAGGAGTCTTTCAAAACCTCAGGATATTACTACTTTTTTGAGGGGTTTGGACAGCATCATTTATAGACGGTACAGTTTCACCGTTTGACCCGCGAGTAAACCGCACGACCACAGCTGGTCACTGTGACACCCCTTATTTTAGTTTAAGCAATCTATTACATTCGAACGAAGGATGAGTGAATGGAAACTGCTACGCATTATTTATGGACTATTATTACATATATTCTTACTGGACAATTATTAAGTAAATAGATTATATGTACATTCATATTCCTTTCGTTATAAGCCTTCATTTGACCTGTTAGCTACTGTCATCCAATCTACCATTCTTAATTTATTCCCAATTTATTAGTTATCATCTCCCGTACTCACATCCAGTTTTGGCCTGATCTTGTGTAATTATTTCTTCATTTCATCAGTATAGGGTTGTGAAGGGTGTTAAGCTTTGATTGAGAACATGAACCGATCAATGTTAGACCACTATTGACGACCTGGAAGCACTGGACAGACATTTCGTCGTAGTATAGGACTTCTCGAGATAACGCATCCACGGTCCCACACGCAGGATTCGAACCCATGACCTTCGGTCTCAGTTTATCGTCTGATGAGGTCTCGTCTTGTTTATTTATTTATTTTAACACATAGATATCGGTACAAGGAAGCACCAAATACATATGCGCTACACAGATCTCATTCGACATGTGTGAGGGCTGTGATACTGCCCGGGTGTCCAGATCGAAACAGGTGGTTTTCTTAGGGGGCCACACCCGGAGCCTTCGACCTGAATGTCTGATCCACAAGGCAGTGGAGCATCGTAACGAGCTGCAGTCCCATTGTAGCCGGTGACCAATGATTGGTTCATACGCCATTTGTTCCTTCAGGACACTGGAGCTCATGTGCATCATTGGTTTGGAATAAGGGTTTTCCAACTCCCTAGTACTGAAGTCGTATGTCGTATTAGTCGTACTCAAGTAACAAACTTAACAATAACATATAAGTATTTCCCATTAAATTTCTACTTCCTAAAAGAGAAACACTGTGCAAAGGTTGAAACAGATAACCAGTTTTCTAAAAGAATCACTGATGAGACAATAACTGGTATATGCTTGGTGAAAAAACAAGTATTATGAAACTAAATGAACTCATATCCTTGTATGAAATGTTTTTTCACTATCATTATAGTAACTGCTTCTATGAATTCGGTGTTCACCTTGTTGTGCTAATGAGGTATGGCAACTTGAACCGATGCATATATATGCCTGGTCATACGTCGTAACTGACTGAGTGAACTAAGTAAACAAGTACACATCTGTTTAACTTTGTCACGCTTTTATAATGCAAGAGCTACAGACACCAACTACAACGAGCTTAAACGAAATCGAGGTACTGTTAGAAGTGCAGGGGAACAGCTGACACTTCTCGGCTGCTCATACAGTGGAAAAGTACTTCTGCTTGAGTTATCTGACTTAGCTACCTGGGGTTGTGACCGCAGTGCTTGAGAGCAAACGCTTAAGATGGTTTATACAGTGCTTTTTATGAGTAGTTCTTGATGTGTTAGCTCTGACTTTTAAGGTCTTACGATCGAATACAGAGATCCATGGGGTAAGGTGAGGTGTGATGTTTGGAGGGTTGATTTTCTCTAAACCTTTCCTCCAGCTGTAAGAAGACAGCATCACTGTAGACACTGTTCGTCTGAGAAAACTGTTTTATTGCCATCACACCCCAGTATAATTAGCAGTACGACTTTATCTTCGGACTTTAGGCAGCTTTTTCTAGTATTATCACATTCCAATCGACCAGACTGGAATAGTACGATACAAAGGAACAAGTATTCTAGCCAATATAGTTCAGTCAAATCTCAACAACAGTTAAACCAGACCAAGACTTCAATGTGGCAGCTACAATCGAACTAAACTCAAGTAGATAAGGTGTGGTTAAAGTCTGTAACCTTACGAATGAAAGTCGAGTTTTGATTTGAGTAGAATGAGATTATCTACACATGCTTGGAATCGAGAAAGTTATTTACAAAAAGTAAAAAGGTTCTCCGTTTTGATTGATCAATATGAAAAGTCGTACTACCCAATTAATCGAAATACGCAGTCGGCGAAACCATCGAAATATTTTAGTATAAAGGATAAAACATAGAATTCGGTTGCAAGAACTTACCGAAACAGATTTACTTCATTCCATTCGGACGGTAATCGACATTTAGAAATATCACCACTACAATAATCAACAGTACGTTGTGTCGCGATTTCATTTAACCAATTTAGAACATCACTCCATCCTGGAGTAGTATAAGCATCTGAACAATCAGAGATTTTTTTATCCGTTATGACCATTTTTGTTGCACAACAGTGTTCCTGGAAGAAATTTCAAAAAATCTTATTCATTGATTTAAGTTACCGCAATGCAGCAATATATAAATACACATCAGAAATTACTGATAATGATTGAGGGCAGTTGGTAGGAAACCCTGAACACAGGCTTCGTGTTAGTCGGCACTAATTATGAAGGGGTAAGTGAGATGTTGAAGGAAATGATCCACCCAATGGAATTCAAACCCGCGCCATTAAGCCTCATCGAAACTTAAGGAATGAAAAAATATACATGTGGAGCTTGTAGGCTTGAGCATTATCTGATACTTAACATGATCGATCATTTGTAACTTTAACGAAAAACATACTCTGTATAAACATCTTTGATCAATAAGCTTTTATCAGAACTAAAAACTAAACAATTTAATCTTGATTAACAAATGATGTGTAATCTGTGCAACGATTGTTTACTACAGGCCTGATCATCCTTAATGGGTTGCTGTCTGACGAAATCTCAGCACAGATTCAAAAAGCTCGTTTGGCTTTTGCCAACATACGTCACCTATGGCGAAGGCAAGACATCCGTCTATCAATTAAAGGACAAGTATACTGCGCGGCATAGCAACATGGACCAATGCATATATGTGCCTGGTCCCACGTTGTAGCTGACTGACTGACAAGCATTTGATAAGGATTGAAATAAAGACAGACAAATAACCAATCGAAACTGTCATTGAAATCCCGAGGTTTAGTTTAGTAAAACATAATATAGGATAGGTCTAGTACATTTGAAAGGATAAGTGCTAACGTGATTAACATACATAATCATTGTATCATCTAACCAAGAAGTATTCGATCTTACCCTTAATTCAGCTAACCGCCCTTGTGCAATTTCACAATAATCATTCCATCGATTTATACAAGATTCTATGTAGGTATTATGATTATGATTATTACTATCAGTTATCATATTTGTACATTCCAAATCAATCGGGATTATTAACTCATCTTCATTGAATGACACAATTACTTCAGTCGGTTTTACACGAATTTTATCAGTATGAATTTTGATTCGATTATTATTCATTGATCTTTTTACAGGATTAAACCAATTAGGTCGAGTGTTGACTTGAATTTGTAGAAATTTTGGATCGGTTTCCCAAGGTAATAGTTCAATGAGTAAATCACAAAAATAAACTACAGCACAACGTGATGAAAGTACATTCTGTGTATTATTATTATTATTATTATTATTATTATTATTATTATTATTATTATTATTATTATTATTATTATTATTATGTGTTGATAGTAATGGATTACAAAATGTTTCCATCCACCATTGTTTATAATTTATCCCAGTCAATCGATTATCTTCTGAGCATAATTGACGTGCAATTAATAAAACTCCTATCAATAATTGTTTATCATGTTTATTTGATGTTAAAACATCCAATTGACTTTTATGAATAAATACATCATCTAATAAATGTAAACAATCTAAATCAACATTATCATTGTTGATATAATTCATATTTGAATTGAATAATGACAATAGAAGTTGATGTATTATAACTGGAAAAGAATAATAATAATGAGAATGAGAAACATTGAAGATCAAGACTATGGTTGGAAAATGGCAAAATGTTATAGTAAATATGGAGGGATACTAAAATTCGAGATCTACAGTAAAACAAAGTGCATCTGTACCGTTGTGATCGAGTCTGAGCTATGTGACTCAACGTCTCCAACCATTGATTGAGGTTATCGGACTGAAGATAACCAGGTAGTGTCTTAATCACTTCAGTTGATCAAGATTAGCAACCTTGTCAACCTAGCTGTCGGCTTTTCCAAGTTCCTTATCTTTGCCTAAACACTGCTCCTTCAGTTTTCTAACCATACACAAGCAATACTTTGAATATGCATATGTTCGTAAACCTGTGGCTTCTAATATTTTCACATTTACAACACCATGTTTCACAGCCATACAGTAACACGAAAAGAAATCCTGAGAAGTATGCTAGCTCTTCGACTGGAAGATGTAAGTCTTACATACGTCACAAGTGACTCAAGTTTACAAAGGCTAATAATGTTTTGGGATCTGCCCTAAGATATCATTGGACACAATTATTGATGACGGAGCACCTTAGCAAATGAGTAAGTATAACTGTCTTGTTCTACGATTTTTCCGTAAACTTATCTATATCTCTATTGCTTTAGTTCATCATGAACACAGGCTTTGTGTAATTCGGCGCAAGTGAGATGTTGAAGGAAATGATCCACCCAGTGGAATTCAAATCCATGCCACCAAGCCTTACTATAACTTGTAGAATGAAAAAATATACATGTGGAGCTTGCAGGCTTGAGTATTGTCTGATACGTAACGTGATCAATCATTTGTAACTTTAACGAAAACTATACTCTGTATAAACATTTTTGATCACCTAACTGCTAGGATCACCGGGCAAGTGATAGTGAGGTTAGATGTAAGGTATTAGGAAATGATGGTAAATCAGTTGATGAGGTTGTGAATCTTCATCGACTGAGATGGTTAGGCCACGTATTACGTACGCGTGAACACCGATTACCACGACGCGTAATACTTTAGTTCGTGATTCTCATCCTTCTAATAAAAATGATATTCACTATATTTGACCCTTCTTTGTGCCATTGATACTACTATTACTACGAGTTTAACTCCTTCACTATTTATATTATTCAGTCCATCCCCATTATTCTAAAGTAGTATGACAAGACTTAGACCAATGTAATTCTATTCTGAGATCCTATAAAATTTACTTTACTTCTTATCAGAAAGCAGTTTCCCCTTATATTGTTGTAAACTAAAATAATTTAGATAGTTGTGACTTCATAACTAATTACAAGCTTATATATTAACATTCGTATCATATTTTGTGTGTATACAAGCACTCAGTTGTTTGGACCGAAGCAAAGAGAGAGAGAAAGAGAGAAGTATATGAACCTGTTAATGATTGTTGAAAACAGAATATTTCAATAACTCAAACATTAAAAATCATAGTTTACTTGTAATTTATTAATTAAGTCACCATTCTGCATATACAAATATATACATGCATTACATGAACCAACTTACATTTAATAGTGGACACGCCTCCTTTAATACATGTAATCATAACAGATATCAATTGAAGGATATGAGACCAATTTACATGATCCAGATCATTATTGGACAAAATGACTAAAAGACGTTCGGAAATGTAATTTAGATCTAATAAAAGAATAAACTATTATGTTTCAAAACAATCGAAAACTATCTCTATTTAATAACATACTTGTATAATGCAATATCGTCTATATGGATGTAATTCCATAAAAGTAAAATACTCCCTTTGGAAGAATCCATAAACTTATTGTTATCATTAAAATGATATATATAGATGTATACTTGAATTATCACATTTCGAAAGTAAAAACTTGTTGAATAGATTTTCGATGGAATGTTTAATCTCTTCAGTTGAATGAACACAACATAATAATTTGTGAATACAGTTATGAGTTGTTTCCCAATCTGAAAATATGCATAATCAAGAATATTCTTTTTGAAGATTACAATTGTGTATCAGATAAATAAAATTATTTTATTTTAACACATAGATATTGGTACAAGGAGGCACCAAATACATATGCGCCACACAGATTTCATTTGATATGTGTGGGGACTGTGATACTGCCCGGATGCCCAAACCCAAGCAGGTGGTTTCCTTAGTGGGTCACACCCGGAGCCTTCGATCATTTTCGTAAACAACACTAGTTGTGCGAGAATGAAGTGAGTATGACTTCCCTGTAAGAGGCTATATACGCGTGGCCATGTGAGAGCATTTGGAGAGGGAGAGCGAACTCTTCCCACTCTCGGTCGTACCAGGGCATTTAGGGGCGATAAATAAAATTAATGTAGTTTAATAACAAAGTAATGATTTATGTACTCGTCTTCAAGCCGGTTTCATGAATCAGATATGATGACACTAGCCAGTTGCTTAAACTAGCGCAAAATTTGACTATGCGAAGACGAATGAAAAACACTTATGCCGAATCAAGTTTCATTGCTTTGATTATGATCTTCTTGAAAAGATCTTGAACGTTGGACAGTTTAGTATTTTGAGACCATGTCTGAAACTAATTCACTTAGAATTCCAATTCACTGATTATGTATACTTCTTAAAAAGTCATTCCTCCATACTATGAAAATTAGAGAAGTCATGAATAAATCAGTAACTATTTGTTTTGCTGACTCTGATTCATTACACACCTATGAAAAGTTTGTGGAATACCGGTAGGTGCAGATTACCTTGTTGGAGTACATGCGATTACCGTAAACCAAGAATGTTTGGTGACGTGGCTCAAAATCGGTTGCAGTGGTGGAGTTGCATTTATATTTTTGTCGCATTTAAATTCTGAGTTTTAAAATTACCTTATAGTATGTAAGCTAATTTTTTTTCCTTGGATCACATTTTTATTGCTAATTTGTTTGAATACCACTGATAATGTTACTGCTTTTACTACTCTCGACAATTTCATCTCACTGTGCTGGTGCGATCTGGCAACTCGATAAGATATACAAGTGTCAGATTTAACACTGGATATGACTAACCATCCAGTATAAGAAATCTGACACACAAACACTTCAGCTTATTCAGAAGCAGGAGCCAAAAGAAAGCTTGGAGACAGATCATCTTCCAAATATTTTAGAAAATATTCAATTGGTCAATATTCCAGTTCGTGATGATTAGGAGCTTATCGAGGACAACCACGACAAATAAGGTGTACTGGTTGTGCTCGATGGAATGGAAGCATAATGATCAACAACCCCAGAGACGCAATGCCAAAGAACGAATAGATCACAACAAACTATCTAATGTCTACAAACAGACCTTTGCACATACATATGCCAGTGATTACGTTGTATCGATGTTTTTGAACAGCGTGAGATATTTTCCTCAGTTAAGTTTTTAGACACATGACCTGGAGGCAAAGCTAGCTGATGTATGAATCTGTGGTGCGATTTACCAAATCTTTTGCAAATCCCCGTCCTTTCGATTAAATTACTTAAACGTTCATCAGGTCTTTGTTTTCTAGACACAAAATTTGTAAAGACCGTGAAATTGTATGTGAATTACTTGGATCATAATTGTCCTAAGGAAATTTACGTATTGTACACGTTTCAAGTCAGATGCACGAACAACACTAAAATCATCCAGCTCAAATTTCACACTCATTTAATGAAAACCAACAATGATATTTTTAGGCCGAGTTTCTCTGAGCAAACACACACAATCTCCCTATTTTGGATACATTTTTGGGTTTTCTTCAAAGTTTCCTATAGCATTTTCCCCAAACTGGGCAAGATTTTACCCGAAATCGGGAGATTGTTAGCTTACTTGAAATTGCAGCGTTGTTTTCGGTCCAGCTAAAATTCAACATTTAATGTAAAAAGCAATTACTGACGAGTGCTTATTTGGACGACAGATGCAACCATACCTACTTCATCCAGAGTTTCTTTCGCAGTCATTATCTTCAGAGAACGAACAACCGTCCGGACGACCTTGTAATTTTACGTGACCGCCGCAAAATGTTTCACTGTATTATCGTAGCTCAGTTGGTTCAAATGGTTGTAGACGGAATAGAAGAAGCTTTTGCATAACAGGCTCCCGATACTAGTAGCAGTGGATCACGAATACTTCCAGGCAGGAACCTGGGTATGTTTACGATAATAGAGGTGAAAAAGGAAATCAGTATATCATAGTAAGTTTTGATATTTAGTTCAAGTTGCCTCTTAAAGGACTCCTGTGAAGTCAGTTGCACTAGTGAATTCCAGCACTAGACAACTCTTATGTTGTAGACATTATGTCTACAGTGTGTTCAGCTATATTGTGGGTAAATGTTTGGTGAATAGAAGCGCTATTCTCATCGCTTGAATTTGAGTCCCCGAACTTATTTCAAGTGTCGCCTTTGGTTTCGCCCCAGAGCATCCTTATCCCTTAGGAGTGAGGGAGGAAGCACTGTGTTTCCATAGTCTAAACGGGGAGGAATAAAACTGTTGAGGATTATGTGGAAAGTTCTTCTGTCAGACTGGCCAGAAATACGCTTCAATGTTACCAGAGCAAGGTTTGCTCGATAGGCATTTTCGTCACAGTTAGCGTAAGACTTCAAATCGTACGGTAACAGCACTCCTAATTCTTTTTCAACTTGGGATACTACTGGAGAGGAGTTACCTAGGTTGTAACTGTAGTCTGCGACATGTTGCAGTTGGACTACTCTACTCTTTGAAGTGTTAAAGGTAAGTCCGTTATCGTCTGCCCAACTGTGATGTCGAGTCAGATCCTCCTGAAATGCCAGTATATCCTCTTGGCTACGTATCCCTCTCCAACGCTTTACATCATCAGCAAAAAGTAATAAGTCTCGCGATAGCAGTTGTGGAAAATCATTTATACAAATCAGGAAAAGAATAGGTCCTAGTACCGGTCGGTAGCTTGAAGGTTCGCTGCGTCGACCTTCCTTGAAAATTAGTGTGATGTCACTCGAAGGCCACGTCCAAGATGCTCATGCTCTAATAAATAAAATTTCATTGCTCTCAGACGCTCTTTACGAGGATTAAATTTGAATCCTCGAAGTGATTTCGTGACTCGCCCATATATACATTTCACAGTATATTTATCCATGTAATCTGAGGAGAAACACACTATTTTATACTCGCTTCCTCCGGTAATTACATGTTTCATGTAATATACATCGCGTTTAAGTCTCACCTTCAGAAACGGTTTAGATAATAATTGATGTACAGAATTACAGCTTGCATCGATCAGTGTCTCTGAACCAGCTCAACAAGAATCTGGAGGACATCCTGGTGGTAAACTGGCACATCCAGAATTATATCGTATGAAGAGCTATACCTCCGTTGAACCAAATAAAACCCATCTCATCATGCTGATAGATGTGGCTATAGTTCTGGATAAACAGTTAGTATGCAGTTCTGGGGATAGAGACATCAAGGAGTAGGCCTAGGTAGACGAAGGATGGAACTCTCCATTCCTGTCTTTAAAGGAGAAGAATGAATTCGTCTGAATTACCGACAGTATCTGTTATTCCACTGACCACTAGCGTTGTGTAAATTTTGATTCCCTTGCACCGAAATAGCACCGGTCAAAGATTCGTCACGAAAGCACTTATGATCTACTGACGATGACGTATGGAACTCCTGTGAGCTTTCAGTCGAACGAATTACATATGTATAGTGATAGCGGAGTAACCCTAAACTCTAGACAGATTATTTCTCGAGCTGAGTGTTATCTATCTCATGTGGTCTACCACTGTACGCTGAATGGCTGTCGAAATGCAGTGGACATCAATCGAGGTCGATGTGAAAATATCCTGGAGATGGCTTGGCTTGACCATATGAGTGAAAATTATATCACAGCATAGGCGTGAGAGCTTCCAATCACTAGCCCATTCAGATTAACATCATACTGCTTGGTTGGTTGAAAATCTTTGTAATTAGGCTCGCTCACCATACAATAAAACCACGTTACAACACACATTACTGTTACATAAGATTAATCTAAAGCGAAATTTCTCCCCATCTAAGCGACTAGGAGGACAGTACGGATGAATAAATGAGCGTATATTGATTGATAGTTAGGTATGTACGAGCCACCATTCACCTACGTAAACAGATATGCTCAATCAAAACAGAAGCGTCCAACTTCAATGCGATAAAAATTCGTTAAACAAACATCCTGAAATAAGTGTGTGTAGACAGGTTATTGAATGAGTACAAGACGATACGTGAGATTGTGATTTTACTTCAGACTGCTAAACGCTTGTGCCATATCTTTCTAACAGCGATCTAAATGACAGGTATACAGAATATCGGAATAGAGTGAAATGACTGACCTTTCCAGAAATTGGAACTAAGACCCTATATCTAATTCGTTCCAGTACTGCTGGCGTCATGGCATTTCCCAAATTTTATGATGTTTTTGATGAGGCAGGATGATCCAGAAACTAAGCAAAGAAGTTAATGATCATAAGAGTCAGGAGTAAATGACTTGCGGCACAAGCAGAGGTAGGTCAATACGCAGCTACCGAACTGTATATCCAGAAGAACTGTGTCAACGGTGTTTTGGCAAACGACTACCATTACCTGACTGAACACACTCAATTAGTAGTGCTGGCTACTACCAGTTCTTCCTTACCCATAAAAATTCAGCCGATTTGTGGATCAGTGCTTCTTCTTGCGGAAAACAAGAAGGAGACGCTAACGGTCCTTGAAAAATAATTCTGGTGTTCGTTGTACAGAAGTATGTTGTCGGAACATTCCAATCTAACAGACTTTTTCAATGTCACCTCGTAGTGGCTTGAAGACTTTAAAACGAAAATTTCCGTACCACGAAAACCGTTGTCAGAATACTACTCCATATTCTGGTTTTAGACTTCACTAACTTACTATCGGGAAGTAAACGAACGTTGGGAACAACTATAGTCTTTTCACATATATTTCTCTGGTGTGTAAAGTGCTGTTCTCCTACTATGTTGTTTAGATAACTAGTTAAGTGCAGGTAAACAACCGATTATTCACGACTGACTGAGCGAAAAGACAGACGGAGACACATCACATACCAGATATGATCAGAGTATAGGCATTTATTCCTCAACCATATGTCATTGACAAAAATCTGAACATTCGGTTAGTCAAGTGACAGGGCAATCGAATACTGGTACATATGAAAGTGCTTATAACTGCCTTGATTTAAATACGTTGTGACGCAACAGGATTACATTTAGCAGTGGTACGTGCATCGTTCAATTGCAAATTGATAGACGTGAACTGAGTTCTAGGCGTGTCCTTGTCACTTTGAACACCACAATGTCTCTCAATTAGACACCGAAAACACGAAGCAGTCGTCCGTACAGACGGTTTTGTGAACCATCGATAACAAGCACCGACGTTTATCAAAAATCTACGGTTTTAATGATAAGGTGGGAATCACAAACATCAGTAAATATAGATAAACATAACTGATTAATTCAGTCTCGGAGGTAATTTCCAATTTGACGATATGAAACAGAAAGATTAAGTCAAAAAGGGTATAATATTTTAAGATTCAGGCATTAAAATACGAAGCATGACAATTTTCAATTCTTCCAGAACTATAAGTACCACACTGGTAAGAAGCACAGACAGTAGTGTTTTATGACAAAATAATCAGTATCAAAAAATGAAAATAGGGAGACAGACAGCTAGTCAGATTTCCTGTTACAATCATTGAAAACCTTAAAGCACTGGACGACTGTCTCTTCTAAGTGTTGTTCTCCTCAAAAGTCCGCATCCGTGTCAAGCATAAATCAGTTATCCACTACAGACAATGGTTGAAGTGTTGAGCGGGATCATAGATTGATCGAAGTTAGACGTAAACAGCGTTGAACGCCAGCCCAGTTGTCTGGAATATAGTCGTTCGTTTGTGGGGCTGAGTGTGAGATCGTGGACGCCCAATGCTGAGGAGTCTCGTACTAGGACAAGAAAGTCATCCAGTGGTTTAAGGATTGATTGACGGTCTAGTTTATATCAAGTAGTTAGTTCAACTCTGAAGAAGCTAATTTATTTCACACAATTTGTCCCACATATAAGCTGGAATAAAGGAGGAAAAATGTCGTAGAAGAATAACATTATTTTCGTGATTTCATGGATTCTTCTTAGTTGCTCACAAACATTTTCAATCTTTCCGTATAATGATCCCTTAATATTATTACATTCCCACATTGTAAATCAAATTATTCTAAACAGTTCTGATACAAAATTTGCACGCTTGTTTCGTCATAATAATAAATACCACTACTGACTTGAAGTTGTAAGCAGCTAGGGGGAACTCGCATCATCAATGAATTCAATGTTATTCTGCTATGATATTTTTTCTTTCTATATGCAAATTTTGACTTACAATAAACTGCTGTCATTGACTTGACAAATTAACTGTTTACATGTCATTCACCAATGTTCATACATTACAGTTCAATTGATCAATAACTGTATTGTAACTAAACAAAAATCTCATAGTGATTCATGTTAAGCCTTCACACCACTGTGTCAACGTCATGAACGCTCACTGCTGAGGAATCATATGCTATGACCAAACGACCGTTCAATGTTATTAGGTTTTCAAAGACCATTCAGCCCGAATAGACTCATGATTTCGAGAAATTCAATAATCCCCTTAATCCATTGGTAAAAAATGGTTAGAACAAACACACACACATACTTATGAATTGACACTCCCGAACGAACACAAAAATACCTTTGTGTCATTAAATAAACGAGAAGTGAGTTTTACGAGCGAAGAAGGATAGTGGCTAGCTGTGGAATCCAGGATACGCGTTTCATCCTATTTGGGAATTGTCAGCTGCATGT